CTCCCCCTTTTTTGGCACCGGGTCTCTTTTACCACCAGGGCGGGGGACCGGTCTTCTTTGGGACCAAAGGGGGAATTCCTAACTGGATTTGATGTTCTCAATTGGGTCACATTCCCAAACAAGTCCTTTCTGAGAGTCCAAGTGGGAAAGATCGACCCCACAGCTCCCCCAGACAATCTTCTTTCCATTTCTGCAAAGGATATCATTTGGCCCAACATCTTCAACCAGGTGTGTCTCATCTTTCACTTTTTGTGAATTAATTTAGCTTTTGAACATATCTTTGGAAAAAAAAAAAGAAGGAATTGCATGAATCACTTCAGTATCCTTAGACGATTGTACTAAGAGAGACTTCGAATGTCATTTATTAACAGACAACACCTCTTTCCACGTGCAATGACCCATGTCATTTAGGCTATAGCAAGCTAAAAATAGAAGGGAAATCATCTTGCTGCTATGACTGTGTGCTGTGCTCAGAAGGGAAGATCACCAACCAAATGGGTAAGTGAAGGAAAGTAGAATATATTGATTATTGAGTAAATATTATGGGCATTGCAGATTGTGAGCTTTCCACAAGTTGAATAGTTCAGGAATGAAAAATCTGAACAAATTTTTCATAGTTCTGGTTGGAGATAGTTGAGGGTAAAAACAGTAGGTTAATTCTGTATAATGTAAACTTTGTTTTGAATCTGTAGTATTCTTAGATTTGGATTGTTCTTTTAATATTTTTCCTGGGGATGGGGGAATCTCATTTTCAGGAAGGCCCCCTTTGTTGATAGATTTAGTAACTCTGAGTAAGTTAGACTTCTGATTATTTTATCTATACACTAGAATTATGCTATGCTATGCTATGCTATGCTATGCTATGCTATGCTATGCTATGCTATGCTATGCTATGCTATGCTATGGCATCTATACTGTTTTCTTTGCAGTCTTCAGGAAAAGTTTTGTAACTGGTTTCTACAGGTTTTTATTTCCTACTCTACCCAGTCTCCTTTGTGTGGTGGACAATAAGTAGAAGTATCACATTTAATTTTGAGATAGCTGCATAGCTCAAGCCTTTTTTAAATTAGGCAGTGTAGCTCAGTATAAATTATATTTTCTTGAAAAAATAATCCTGATTGTTTTCTAGAAGGAAAGGATATCTTCAAACTTTCAGCACATGTATTAAAACCATAACAACAACAACGAAATGCAAAACGAAAACCAACATACATTTGAAGTAGTTCCAAAACAAGCATTGAGACATTACCAAGTGATGTGTAGGGATGTAAAAGAAAGCTACCATGGGTATTAAAGGGAACAAATTGTCAATATCCATATCTTAGCTACACATTCTCTCACAAGCTCTTGGAAAACCAGCAAATATTTTTTAAAAAATCTGTTTTTACAGTAATGTGCAAACTTGGCAATGACAGAACCATGAATTTTTTAATTTTTAAGAAAACTTTAGAATAATTTGCATATTTATACATTATATAAATCACGATACTTTACTTGCTTGATGCTGAAAACACATAGTGATTCCATGAACAACTTTTTTTCCCCCTAGACTTAGATAATTGTTTCCCATGTCCAGAGGATCAATATCCAAACAAGGATCAGGAGAGCTGCCTTCCAAAAA